TCGGCAACAGGCTGCCGGTCTGGAGCAGGTTGTTTAACTGCCCCATAGCCTCAGTTTCCCCACCAGAAACATGGGGATAAGGACTATCCCCCTCCTGTCATCGGAGAGAAAGTGTAGAAACGCAGGGCCGCTGGTCTCCTTTACCCGTCAGCAGGCTGCCTGCCTGCCTAGAAAGCCGCCCGGAGTGCTAGAAGCCCCGTCTCCTGTCAATGCAGGATGACTGGGTCCCCTCATAGAGGCTGGGCAGACTGAGGCAGCATGCCCAGCACGTCGGGCTCCTCAGGCCTGGAGGGCTGCCCCCTTGCATCCCGGCCCTTTGGGGCAGCAAGGCTGGGAAGGGAGGGGCTGGGCTGAGCAGTGGGGATGGGAGCGGGGTTGCGTCCCCCTCCGAAGCGGAGAAGCCAGGAGCGGCTCAGGGTCCCGTGCCAGCATCGGCCGCTCTCCCGGGCCTCCCAGGGCTCGGGGGCAGATGGAGCCCTTGGCCGCAGTGGCCCATCTGTCTGTTCTGGTCCGGTGGCCCCAGAGATGCCTCGGCTGGGGATTAAGCCAGAGGAGGGACAGATTCTGCTGCCAAAGCACAAAGGTCCCACACTGAGGAAGATAAAGGAGCTGACGAGGCGCGGCTGTCATGGCCAAGTGTCCTGGGGTGAAAAACGACAGTGTCCTGATGCGGCCCTGGGGACTGCGGTCACCCCTGCCCCCACCTCCTTGTCCACCTCCTTGTCCATCTCCGGGGCTGCAGCGGCCCCTGTAGCACAGGGCCAGGAGCGAGCTGAAGAGTGGGCACCACTGCTTCCCTAGGGCCCTGGGGGGCAGCTGGACGGCCCCAGGGCTGGTGCTGTGTGACCTTAAGTCTGGCTGTGCCTCTCTGAGCTCTGCTTTCCCCTCAGGGCAGGTAGATGGCTAAGAAGTTCCCTGCAGACCACATGGGCGTGGGGAGCTGGGTGAGCAGGTGTGTGTGGGGATGTGGCCCTAGGTCAGGGCAGCACTGAGGCCAGCCAGTCCCTCCTTGGGGTGGGGATATAAGTGGGAACCAAGGGGGCTGGAAGGTTAAAGGGTCCAGAGTGTCTGGGACTCCAGCCCCATGACACACACACCCCCACCACCACCACCGGGGATGGCATTCCCTACCTGCAGGGAGCCTGCCTGATCCCTCCTCCAGCATCTCCTCCCCAGCCCCTGACTGTCCCAACTGGCTGGGACCCACCCTGCAGACTGGCTGGCTTGCCCGTGGCTCCCTTCCCCATGTCCCTGTCATTCTTGGTGTCACACAGGCTTTATCCTTTTCAAAGTGCCCCACAATCCAAAGCTCCAAAGGAATGAAAAGAGGATTTGATGACGAGGAACCCAGTTCCCAAATCCAGGCTTACAAATCCTGCCAAAAGCTCAGCCTCAGGTTTCCAGCCCCTCCCGGCCTCACCCCGAATTCCATCATTATGGACTTCCAGGGGCCCCTGTCTTCCCAGAGCCCACACACCTGTTACCCCACATGTTTGGATGTCCTGGTAGTAAAGGGCCCAGAACCTCTTCCAGGCTAAGAGACTCATCTGTGGAATGGGCACAATTAGAGGTCTCTGCCTCACCAGGCTGTTGACAGTCCTGGAGAGGGCCTGGCGTTTACGAGAGACTGGGGGCCTCTGTGAGCTGGTGTGTGCTAGGTGTTCCCTTTAGGGTCAGGAGACCGAGGCCTAAGTGGGGGACGGGGCTTACCTAAGGCCCACACGGGGGTCAAGAAGCCAAGGAGCCCAGGACTTCCACTGCTGATTCATCCTCTGACCTTCCCCCTCCCGAACCCCGGGGGCCTCCCTGCTCAAGCCAGGAGGGAACACCACTG